GAAGAATGGGAGTGGTTGCGGATATGGTGACTCGCATGGCTGGGCTGTTGGTGCGGACGCTGCTGGCGCTGCGTTTTGATTTTGTAGTCTCTTTCCCACCAAACTCAACTCCTCAGTGTGGCGTGTGGAGGGTTGAGGGGTAGGTTGCTTTGATGTGTGGTAAATGGGGGCGACGTGGAGCATGCTGCGTCATTAAAAATATAAATATAATTCTATCCAAGGCAACCATATTATAGTTCAATGGTTTAAGTATAAATTTTGGCAAAAAAATAAAAATAAAAAATCAAATTTAATTCTTCATCCCAGACATGTTTTATTGAACTAAAAAGAACTTTCAATCAAAAAGTATGTTGGATCTTACATGATTCTCTAATTTAAGAGAGGGTGAAATCCAATCTTTTTTAGTTCAACAATTGCAAGGGAATTGAGGAATTGAACCATTCATATGGTAATAAATACTTTATTCACTTGAATTTACCAAGACTTTTAATTTTAAAAATTATACCTTCCTTAATTATTAAAATATGTTCAAATTTACAAGTTTTAGAAGATTTAATTCACGTGAATAAATTACGAAATATTACTATTTTTTTTTAACTTTTGAATACTACTAAATTTTATTTTGAACATCTTTAAAGAAATAGTGTCCTTGGAATTTGGAATTATATTTTTTTCATTTAATAAAAATAAGACCAGCAAATTTCAATAAAATTTTAGAAAATTTTGCTATATTGAATTTTTAATTTGAGTAATTATCTCATAAATTAAGCTTATTGTAATTAAATTCTATTTTTTTTTTTACTACAAGAGCATATATTCGAACTCACAATTTCTAATTATATAATTCGTAGTCTGTGTTTGTTGGTAGCAATTTCATAAATCTGAGAGAACAATTGTTAAAGTCCCAAAATTAAAGTGGATTTAGGGTTTATGGATAATCCGTATTTTTATGAATTATTTTAGTATCAACGTATTTGTTACATATCTTGCGCGGTAAAAGTAACCGCTAATGATCCTCCAGCTCCCCGAGCACGAAAATTGCATATAAGTACAGACATTTGAACAAAGTTTTCCCACGTTCCCTGCTCGACCCAAGCCTTTTCTGGCCTCGGCCACTTCCAGCAAATACAGCCGTAGTTCGCATCTCCATCGCAGAACTTCCAGGTTTTTGTCTCTCTCTCTCTCTAACATTTGATCAAACTCGTAGATGTTATTATTTGAGAAAATTTCATCGCGTATTTTGTTTCTTAGATCAGTATTTTCGGATTTTGCCAGCAGCATTCAATGGCAGTTAAAAGAAAAAAAAATGAAGAAAAGCTGTTGCTCGCTGAATCCGTAGCCAGTTCCGTGAATTTCTTTTGAAACTTATCTGTCATCCTTTGAAGATTTTAGTTTCTGAATTCTCTGCATTTTTTGCTTGTCGGTGTTTAAATCTCATTGGCTTCGTTATGTGCTAAACTTGATGCCTTTTTCTTGATCGGTAACTTTTTTACTGAATGAGTTTATTTGATAATTTCGTCGAAATATAGTCACGTGCTCCTCATTTCGCCAACTACGTGAATTCAGTTGCTTGAATCAAGTCGATCTCATTCATCCATTTCACCTTTGTTCATTCCAAAGTTGAGGCAATTTTGATTCAGCTGGAATTTACTATAGCCTTCAGCCTTTCCGAATCTAATGCTAATTATGTAATTAGTATCGTATAAGCTTATCATTCTTTAAGCATATCAGCACAGGTGCTTGTTGTACATTGTACATATCGAGCTCTGTTCAGTATTGACCACATTATAACTTAACTTTCTTTCTTCGATCTGGAGCATCATTCTTACATGAATTAGGTCTGCGCTGATGCAACTTTAGATAATACTCTCTGGAGCACTTCCTCAAGCAATCTGTATTCAACTAGTCCCCGGAGTTTGTGGTTCCCCATCCGAAGAATGACCTGGTGCTATTTTGCAGCTTGTTTGTGTTTAATCGTTGATTACATTTCCATGTGTAGAGCAATTAGTGCAGTTCTGCAGCTTGCAGCTTGTTGATTTTTAATATTTTCACTGGCTATGTTTCCATTTGAACAAATTGATTTAATTTAATATCTCATTATCTTGGCCTTGTATCTCTGGTTATCAAAACGACTATTTCTTCTCAATTCTGTTTTTTGGTCTAATAGAAAATTTTGAGAAGTTTTGATGAATGCTTAGTGGAACCATCATCTTCAAATAGTTATTCTCTATGTGGAAATATCATCTTCCGCTCACTTTTTGTAGAGGTCAAATTGAGTCCAATATAGGCGGATGGCAGAATCAAGGAAAGGAGCATCTTCAGCTACCGATCTTAGAAAAAAGGATACCCTATTAGGTATACACTTTAAGCTTACATATGTAGGAGGAACTTAACTGAGTAACTTGTTTTTATTACCCTCCTGAGATATGTAATATTAACGACTTAAATATTTAATTTGTAGTCAGTGTTTAGCAGATTCCTTTTAGGCTAGTGGTATACAAAATTGAAACTATAAAAAATGAGTTGTAAATAAGAGATTGATAATCTTTGAAAGCCAAATCAGCATTCTATGCATAGGATGAATCATAATGAAGCAACTTGATCTATCTATTAGTCAGATGTCATGTGCAAATAGTGTATAATGGCTAAAGTCCTGACTTTATGATCCTAAAGAAGTATGTTATGAACCTTCTACTCATCTTTGGCACAGATGAGGACATTGGTGATGAATTTATGAACTCTTGGAAATCAATATCGGTGGCAGAGGATGATATGGACTTTAGTTTTGGCACAGTCTCCAAAGCCAAGAATAAGGCCTTTGATTTCGGGACATTGTAAGTATTGCCAAAAATTTGAGTCACTATATGGAAATTCAGTCTTTTTTGATAGACGACCTCCCATCATCTTTTAAGCCTCCATTAGATTCAGTTACTGATATTTGTATCTACAGTAAATGTTTGGGAAAAATCATTTCTTTGCACTTGCTTTATGGTCATTGTCATGTTTTTTTTTTTTTTTAATGATTTTTTATGGAGTCAGTGTCATGTTTATGCATAAAAGATCCAATGGTGTGGAATATCAAATGCTATGGTAGAAAAAAATTTATAAGGCTTCATGTAACTGAAAAGTATTGTTTCATTTCTTCAGGGATGTTGATTTCAATCTGGATGGAAGTTTTGAAAAGCTATCATCATTCAAGATGGACATGTCAGATCTTGAATTTTCATGCTCGCCCAAAAAGACTGAAAAGGCTAGGAGTAGTGGCAAAGAAGAATCGCCCAATGAAAATCTTCAAAAGGATATAGACAGCTTAAATTTCTCTTTTGATTTTAAAGAGTAAGTGGAGAAGACATTTAGAGGAATGTTTGGACCTTCTTATTTCTTACAATTCGTGTTTTGATTTTTAGACAGCTATCCTATTTGATCCTTAACTTACAACTTCTCATTACTACTTCTGTCTGGAATAAGATTGGATAGCTTTGATGTTGGTAAAAGCTTACAAAATGGAGAAAGGTCTTGTAACCGAAAGCAAGATACCAGGGCAGTTTGTTCTTCTAGAGTTGACCTTGCAGCTTCTAATATCCACATAGCTGAAGAAAATACTGCAATTGATAATAGTATAACTAAGATACTTCCAGCATCAGGAAAAGAGACCAGCTCTAAAGTTCAGAACTTTCAGGGAGGTCGTGGTGAGCTAGAGTCAGAAGTTGTGGATGGCACATCACATGAAGCAATAAATGCAGTGCAAACTACAAACAAAGAGGAACAACTTGAAAAAGGTTGCTTGTCTGAGAAAGAAGTGTCAAAGAGTAGTAACCTAGCCATTCATGATGTACCTATCAAGTGTATTGCCAGAAATTATGCACCTGAATGTACTTCAGAACCACAGCCCGATATTCGTACAACGAGTGGGGAACTAAGAGTAGTTTCAGGTGTAACTGAAAATGTCACTGATGAAATCATAGACTCTGATGTAACTTGCTGTAAAAACTTGCCTCAAAAAGATCTGTCTCCAATAATTCTCTGTGCACCAGAGAGCAATCACACAGAGGAAGATAAGTCAGAATGCAGCACCCCCAATGAAGTTGTTGACAAGATTCAACTAGCTGAAGTTCGTTTAGACCTCAGAGATCGTTCCAATTCAGATGTGCAGAGGAAGCTTCTGCCTGACCCCCAGGAAATCAGAGAAAATAGAAATTTGAACTTGAAATTGCCTACAATTCCTTTATGCAGGTAAACATATTTATTCTTTATTATATTAAAATTAAAGTAATAAATGAAAAGATAGATATTCTTTCACGAAAATTTACTGAGAAAAACAAATTCTGATCTTCTCCATTGGAAATTGGAAGATCATTAAAGACAAATCTACAGCAGGGAATTTTTGCCTCATGTTTTTGTACAAACTCATTTTAAATGAGTTTTGTTAGAGACGTTGTGCAATTATGGATAGAACATCCATTTTTGAGCTTTTAATGAAATGAATGATGTTATCTCATAACATCTTTTCTTTCTTTGAAATTTCCTGATGCAGAGGAACCCCAGTAAGAAAAGTGACAGTGAAAGAAAGAGAAATCGATGGTAATTCCTCCACGTCAAGGACAGATGTTGTTAGCAAACCTCAACTACATCAATCATCACCTATCAGTACGAAACTTTTCACTTTAGGCAAGAATAGAATTGATGTTTCAAATCAAACTCCAGCAACTGGAGATGGGTAAGATGTTTTCTAATCACCAATTCTCCTTGTTTCTCAAATGTACTTTATATTAAGCAAACCTCTAGAAGCATGACTTTGATTGCAATAACACTATCAGAGGCCAGTTGGTCGACTATATGATATGATATTTGATGGTAGACTAACAACAAACGAAAACATCTTATTGGATTTGTTGGAGTTTGATTTGATGTCAAGCAAGGCTTCTTAACGTAAACCTTTCAGTTTGTTAGATGTCCTTGCACTTTAAAATTTTGGATTTCAGAATTCGTGACAGTTGAAGGTTGCACTTTTCCCACGATGTTTTTTTTCTGATTATATGCAAAATCACAGGAAGCTTTGCAGAGACTCTCAACCGCATAATAAAGTAGCAAACACAATACCTCCAGTTGTAGTACAAAGTGAAAAGAGCTATGGAAAGCTTTGTACTTTAGGATGAGACATGGTTTCCCTATTTTATATTTGGACTAGGCCTTAAACTTCAATTTGAGATGGAATCATCTATACCTGACAAGGCTATGCAGAATAATATATATATTTATTTTAACTGCGAGTTGGCTTGTCTTATTCTTACAGTGCCAGGGTTACTCCTAGCAATTCATGTGTGAAAACAACTACTCAAACACATTGCAATTCGGAACTTCTGAAACTATCAACGGTACCTAGTCAAAGTCTGAAGATCATTTCAGCTCAGGAGAGTAAACTTCGTTCAATTAAAAGTAGCTTAATATTTCCCAACCTTTCCAGCTTGAAGACTTCTTGGTATGATGTTGATACGTTTATATATATATTTTCAAAACTCTCTCTGAAATATACTGGTTATATTTGTAAGATCACATCATTCTTTTTTTGTCTAGGGCGTTTGGAGGAAAGCAAATTCTATCAAGTACTGGACGTGAGAAAGAAAGGAAATCTGGAGATTCAGAACAAACTACGGAAGCAGGACAAAGAAGTAAAAGACTAGACATTGGCTATTGTACTGAAAATGCTGAGAAACAAAATCTTCTAATCTCTAACATGAAGCGTAAAGCACTGGAGGTTTATATCTTTAGCCCTCTATTCCACTTCACTGAGATGTCTAAAATAATTTTGCTTTTTGATCTCAAAACTTAAAAAATTTCAAAAATTCTTTCTCCATAAGTTTCGAGTAGATTTTTACCCAACAAACTGCACAGGAATCAAATGCAGATTCAATGTTGTTAAAACCTCTAAAGCGCCTCTCTGTATCACCTATTGGATTTAGGTGACGGCATACTATCAACCTCATTCGTCTTTTTAATCTACTAGACGATTCTCTTGATTAATGAATTGTTTTCCCAAATCACTTGCAGAAACTCCAAAGAGCCGTTGGAGAAGAAGATAGAAGAACAGGTTGCACAATGAATTGGAGTTTGTGATCTACATAAATGAGAAAGTTGAATATGCAATAAATAATTTAAGAAAACAAACATGAGTCATTTTATGTCATTATTACATTCGGTTTACCTTTCTTTTTGGTGAAATCAGGTGGAAGGTATGACCTCCAATGCTTCCCATGACCACATAGCCTCCAGTATTGAAAACCCTCACGTTCCTAATACGATGGAATTGGAAATATCTTTGGATCTGGAAAATGATCGAAATGTCGAAAAAGCAGACGCCTATTCACGGGAGCTTGAAGATGTAAGTAAATTGTAGATCCTTTTGTCTTTTGTCAGATTGAGCTGTAACTTTCTAATGCTTTTCATTTAAAAAAATGGAGCAAGAGACATTCAATAAAAATGAAGTGTACAAAAATGTTAAACTTGAAAAAAAAACCTTTAATTGGGGGGCATGAGAAAATTAAATGCTTTGACTGACATTGCAAATACAATCATTTCACTTTCAGAGTAACTTGATATGGAGAGCTGAAGGATCTATTGTTTTAATTTCTTACCAGATCTGTAATATGCTGAGAAAGAAGCATGATGAGGCCAAGGAAATGTTAGTCCGAGTTATTGTTAACAACAGTAATCTACTCATGCTCAATCATCCCATCTTCGAGGACAAGATATCCTTCCATGACATTTTTTGTTTTCTTTTCTTTCGGCTGTTCTTTTCTCGATCCATCATTTGAAGCCTCATTCCTTCACCAGCTCGAACATTAGGAAGGTTCAGAAATTTGCGGCCAAACTGCTGTCCAAGGAGCTTCAGACAAAAGCAGCTTGAGTCATAATTCCATTTACAGGTATGCATATCTAACCAAAATTCGGGACCCTCTCAACACATTTCATTGGGTTAGTTAGGCAGAAAGTTCTTACATTTTTTTGCATTGTCAGTAGTAGTACTCGTTTTCATGTTCCCTACTGAGGGATTCATGAAATATAGTCTTCTAGCACAATGAATAATGTATGCGCACCTATGAATCAGGAGTGAAAACTTGGATTATAGGTAGATCTTATTTTTCTGATAAAAGACTGAAGAAAATCGATTCAATAGAGATTTAAACTAAGTGGGTTCGGGAATGCTTTTAAAATAGGTGTTTTTATCAGAAGCACTTTTAAACTACATTGAGATTAACTCAAGCTGCAGAAGACACTTTTGGAACCAGTTCAGTAGTTCACCCTTCATCACTATGGACGAAATTAGAAACCAAAATGGCCTTTCCCGTTCTCAGTTATGAAAAGAGTATGCACCTAAAAATAAGCTCCATTTTCCAATTCGGGTCACTGTATTGCGTCGGCCAATTTGCCAGTTGCCAAATTGCAATTGCTTGCCTTGACTTCATTTATCTTTGGAAAAAGACAGCTTGTTTTATGCAATATTGGGACCAGGACTCGTCAGCTTGGAGCAATGACTTTGAGGCCGCTTCTTCTTTAAACCTCATCCAATATCTACCTTTCTTTTCCTCTCCAAAGCTTCCAATTCTTTTCAATGCCTTCCACAAATCTGCACAAGTATACGCAATACCAGAACGTGGCCACAGGGAAATAATAAGACAATTGTTATTTTTAAAATGTAAGTCGGCAGTCTCAACCTAAAATCAAACATAGAAAATGGTAAATAATTTTCTACACGCATGCACTTATTGGATTAGAATTGAGATTCTCTCCTACACCAAATAAAAAAAAAAACCAGGAAAAGAAGCTTTAGTCCTACTTCTGTCAACTGAAGGAAATAGATCATATCAAGTAGAACTCAGACGATGAGGAGGACTATCTTTCACATCGAAGGTCTCTTCTGGACATATTTATTTATTCATATGGAAGGATTGTAATTTATAGAATTAAGCTAATTGGATCCGATTTTATTTAAAATCCAGAGCAACCTCAATAGGAAATCTAAGCTTCTTCATGTTTATCCTTGGGGCATCGTCAATAGGTAACTAAAAAAACAGAAAGAAGAAGGTCAATCCACATGAGACTTTGGGCCTCAAATCCGTTGGCAGTGCCTCAAATTTTATCGCAGATTATAGATGCTTTATGTACCGCATTGAATTGGTACTTTGGAACCGAATTTTATCACTTACAAACCTAAAGTTGCATTTAAGTTCAGCCTCCACAATTTATCAATATTTTGGGACCATTTGAAGCCGAATATTAGGTCATGGTGGGCTGTAAAGCAAATTTAGTGGATACAAGATAATGCTCAAGCGCATTGAATTTTTAAGAAGCTTTCGTTACTTTGGAAGTTTTAATTTGCAGCAGGATTTTCCAATCATATGAATCTCTTGTCTCTTTCAATATTAGTTGCAGTTTTTGTCTCAACGAATTAAAGGAATGATTGAGACAGAATAATATTCGAAGATGGAGGGTGAACATAATCCTTTATTTCTGGGTATAGGCAAATTTTATTCGAATATTATTGTCTCAAAAGCAATAGCAAATTACTTCTTTAAAAAGTAAGTTTTATATATATGTGTGTGTGGTTTTTGGTTTTCGATTTTTAGTTTTTAAAAAGCAGGTTTATTTGATAATCCATTCAATTTGGTGTTTTTTGTTTTTCAAAAACTATTTTTTCAAAAACAAAAAAGTACTTTTCAAAAACAGGTTTTTGTTTTTCAAAATCTTATTTTTTCTTTATCATATTTATCTCTACAAAATTTATTTCTCATTCTAAAATTTTTTATTTTTAAATTTCTTTCTAAAACCTTTGTTTTTCTCTCTCTAAAATTTTCGTATTTTGAATATTTATTATTATTTATTTCTCTCTAAATTTTATGTATTTTTGTTTTTTTTTCTAACATACAGTTTCATTCTCTTTCTAAAAATTTAATATTTTTCTTAACTTTTTTTGTCTCTAAAATTTCATCTTTTATAATTTTTCTTTGTCTTCGTAATCTATTTTTTCATCTGAAAATTATATTTTATTTTCTCATTCAATTTTCTTTCACGATAACTTTTATTTATTTTTGTATTTATTTTTCTTTTCCAAAAATTATATTTTGAATCTTGTTATTATCTCTAAATTTGTTTCTACTATAATTTAGCTCTTTCTTTATAATATTTTTTTCTTTTAACATATCTTTCTCTCTCGACTTTATTTTTTTTCTCTATAATTTTTCTCTTTTTGTCTTTAACTTTTATTTCACTCTTTTTTTCTTAATCTTTTATTTATCTCTCTAAAATTTATCTTCCAAAAGTTTATTTACATCTATCTAAACTTGTAAAAAATTTCCGTAGGGTAGGGTCCCAAAAATAGGATATGCATGTATCGACCCCGTCCCTGTCTCCGATTCCATTTTTTAAAATAATTAATATATATTTATTACACTTTTTTATACTTAATTTCTAAAAATAATTAAAAACAATTATAAAACAGATAATTTTTCTCAAGAACATCTCTTGGACCCAAGAACGAGGTGGAGACGGAGACTCCAAATTTTCACGAGCACGAGAATGGGGGAGAGCATCCTCACTCGCACCCACATTATTGTCATCTCTACTTTACATAGAATTTTCTCTGTATTTTTAATTTTCTAACTTTTTAAAAACAAAAAAACAAAAAATGGTTATCAAACGTGTTTTGGTTTTCTGTTTTGTGAAAACAAAAAATAAAAATGGTAATCAAACATATATGGAAAACAAAAACCCAAAAACTAAAAATCAAAAATAAGAAAAACCAAAACTCAAAAACTAAAAACTAAAATGGTTATCAGCACTTACCATTTTATCTTTTTCTTAAATATGATTAATTTTCGAGCATGGAAATAGTTGGCAAATTGTGTTCACCTACTTTGCCCAAATCGGATATACTAAATGAAAATTTGAACCGCAGTATCACAAATGACAAAACCACTAGCTCCCCATGGTACCATGTATTTATATTTTAATTCATTATTATATATTTGTTTTAATTTAGCATTTTAAATATAAAAGTTTGGAAAATACTTCTCTCCCAACCACCGTTAAAGAATTGCTCATTAATAAATTATCCGTTTTTAACATTTCTCAACTATATTTGGTTGTCAAGAAAATTCCTAGAAAGTTTTCTAGATAAGTGGTCATCTTTGAAACTTATTTTCTCTAAATCCTTTTGATTTACTTTGGTCTTTTAAACCAATGAAGCACTTGTATTAGTTAATAGTAAAAATATTTTTATACGATTGGTGTATAGTGATATAGATCAAAAGGAATCAAAATTTTCAAGTTCTTTGACGTTTTTCCTTTTAATTTTGACGAGGATTGAGTTGTCACGTACGTATCCCAAAGACCTTTTCTTTAAATAATAATAATAGGCAATTCTTCTCATAAAGTTAGGTTGTGGATTATTTATTTATTTATTTTTTATCGACACACATTGCAGGTACTTGGATAGAAACATGTAAAGTTTAAAACTCTGAGAACAGCTCTAAAAAATTTCTGGTTCATTGGCGAGAATACACCCTATAATTGATGCTACGTAAAAGGACAAGGATTGAGTTCTTTATTAGAACCAATAAATTTCAGTAGGGAAACGAAAAAGGAAGATCAAAATAGATGGTTTTGGCGAGTATAAAAACCAGCCACATCTCGAGGCTCTGCAGCACGCTACAAAGTATCTCTTCACTCTTCACATAAACTGGCACACAATAATGGCCAATTTTAACTTCTGGATTTGCCTCTTCTTGGCCTTCTCCTATTTTGCAGGGTCTGAATCTCGACTTCTTGGTTTATACTCAGAACCAAGCCTCCCTCTTCCGGTGAAATCATACCGGCCGGCGCTGTTGGGTCCCAAGGAGAAATTTCACATCGGGTTGGTCGCAGTCGACAGCTCGGGAACCAACTATCACCATAAGGTGGCTCGTCTGTCTCCTGGAGGACCTGATGCCCACCATCACTAATTTTACCAACTTTTTTACGAAGGTAGAGGTGGAGATTGGAACTTTTCAATATAAGTTTCTTGTATTCCACCAAAGAGTTGTGCTCAAATTTTACTAATTTTATGTTGTAGACTCTAATGTCAAGAGATGAACTCACTCTTACAAGAAAATAAATTGTAACGTAATCAATAGTGTCCCTTTTTATGACCAAATTTGTCATAAATGACGTATGTCGATTTTATAATACCAAGTTGACCCAGAAACCAAACATTATCTAAAGTGTTATATATATAAAGAAGATGCACGTACGTCACAAAGCTGTAAATGGTTTTGAGGGAGGCTACCTCTCTTTGAGCTGAATAGATAAGATTATGTAATCCTACTTTCTTCTATTTAATAGTTAATATCTCTATTTCGTATTTTGTATTTTGTTGTAAGAAATGTTCAGGGCTTAATTCATGATTCAAAGTTGAGAAACCAGAATTACAGTGTTGGATAGTTTTTCTTATTTCATACCAGAGCAGAAATATTTTTGTGACAAACATTCGGTTGAATGTTTTTAATTATTAATTTGAATGGTCACTGTTGTCATATACATATATATATATATTTTAACCATAGATATATATAACTTACTTTTTAAAGAAGTAATTTGCTAAGACAGAATGATATCCTTAAAATTTGCTTTTAAGGATTATGTTCACCCTCCATCCTCTCTTCCAGTCGAACTACTTATCTACTTGAATATTACATAAAGAAGTACCCATAGTTTGATAACTTGATGATAGACAATAATTTATTTCCTCCTTTGCACTTTCACCAAAGAATCTCATCTTCTTCTCGAGCAGTACTAGCTCGGTGATACTGATCTCGAGGAGATGATAATGGTAAATCGATCGCTCGAGTTTAAATCAAATGAATTTTATCCGTTTCGTTAATTACACTATTTTTCAACAGCTTAACTTAAATCAAATGACTTTTATCCCACCATCTTGGCTTGAGTTGTGAGTGAAATCATGAGTCCTTGCAACATGTTTTGTCCTCGTTCACATGCTTTCGAATAACAATTACTTTCACTACTAGTATTTTTAATCTTTTTTTATACATTTTTTTATGGATAAGCATTTTTCCTTCTCTCACTAATCTCTTTTCACTTGCTTGATACCACTTACTTTCATACGTGGGGACATGATCTTCCCGAAGAAGGATCTTTGGAATCTAAGTAGATAGGTTTTTCTAGACCCTTCTTATATCTCGTATATATATTCTAGTTAGATACTTCTAATTAATCTATCCTTATTTAAAGAATTCTCTATAATCCCTCGAGGAGGTTAAGATATTTCTAGAGTCTTTTCCTTAGATATTTATTTACAACCTTCAAAATTAATTTAGAGAAAACTATTTTGTGTAGATACCTCACTAGAAACTTCTAGATACAATTAGGGTTGTTTTTTATTTGAACACTTTTTTATTCCTAATATCTCTTATATGTGCTATCAAAATATATATATAGAGAGAGAGTGTCAAAGAAGCCGCCACTGAGATGGAAAAGAGAAATTGCAAAAGCAAAGGCACCATATATATATATAGAGGAAGAAGAAGACGACGACGAAGAAGACAATGAAGCTGAGAAAAAAAAAAAAGACGTTATTTTTTGTTTCTTTTTTAGTTTTTATTCCAAATGGATGAGAAGGACAAAACAAGGCCAGATTCTGGTTTCTATTTTAAAACATAATAATATATGAAAGGAGGCTGTTGTGTAGTCTAAAAGGGGTCAATATTGCGTCCAAATTATAATTGCAAAGTTGAGTTGGTTTCCATTATTTTGGCTGCGCATTTATTTATATTTACCAATTTAATTTTCAAATGCATGCCAACGTGGCCGCCAACAAATCTAACAAATTTACCATTCGTTTTCAACACTAAATTATGTGCAAAAATATTTGACTTTTAATTTGTAATAATAACACTTTGGTGCACGATAATATCTGGATGACGCAGTTTGAATTCAAGATCTAATTTCTCCTATAATATTTATAATATTTCATTAGACCAGAGTGTGTTTAATTTGCTCAAAAAGCACCTTTTTTTTATTATTTTTTTAATCTTTAAACTTGTTTTTTTCCCCTTCTGTTGACACAGAAGATTTACCTTTTAACTAATAAAGTATTTTTCTAATTCCACAAGTTTTCGAAAATGGTTTTCTGATTTGAAACTCGACTTTTAGTATAGAATTGTGAATGTGAACGAGAGGTATATATTTTTTCGGAGTCAAATTAGATCCTTGATTTATATCTTTATTTAGTGATATGATGTAGCAATTTAGGTGCCGTTTTGCTTCAAAATAATAATAATAATAATAACAATAAAATAAAAATTTAGGTGGCGTTTAAAGTTTTTACGAGCCTCTACTTTATTTAGCCGTACAAAACCAACATTGAATGTAATGTGTTTTAGTACTTAATATTTAATAGGAAAATTTGAAGAAGTGACTATATTTACACTATCGAAATAAAAAGTGGTAAAACTTGTAATTTTAAAGATAAAAATTATTCACTCTTTTTTAAGTCTGGACCAAGTTTGAACCTCCCCGTGATTGAACCAATTCATAATGTCGTTGAAAGTAAAAACGACGGGAATTAGCGACGAAACGCCAAACGTCACTAAGACTTTTAGCAACATATTTGAGCTTTTAGCGCATCTCTGAAAGTCTTTTTTCTGGTAGTCTGTACATATAGATAAGCAACGTCATACTTTCGTTAAATCTAACCTAATTTTTAAATTAATATAATCGATTTTAAAGTACACGGACTAAATCGTTATTTTCGAAAGTTCAGGGACCAAAATCGTCAATTAATGAAAGTTTAGGGACTATTTTGTTTTCTAACATACATTTTTTTAGTTCAACAACTTCTGATTCTTTTTAAATTTTTTTGTTTTATTTTATTGAAGATGTATATGTGTAATTGAGTTGGTTAGGTTGGCTTTATATCATTTTTATTATTTCATTTTGATTTGAAATGAAATTAATTGGCTAAACAACAATTCCTAATCTTTTAGATAATGTAATATTTGATCATTAATTTTTTAAAATTTTAATTTTCCCTTATTATATTAAAAACTATCTTTTAGATCATTCCAAAAATTAATTAAAATTAAGAAAAATGAATATGTTATTAAATTATTAGAAATAAAATTTGTTTGTGGACATATCCTTTTTGTTAATTATTTCTTTTTACATAAACTAATTGAAAATTTTAAATATATTAAGGTTAGACAAATATGTCATTTAAAAGAAATAGATTTTCTTGATGGTTAGATCATATTTTGTCATATTAATAAAATAATAATTTAACAAGACATCCACTTTATTTGTTAATAAAGGAGTACATGCACTATATTGATTTGGCTTTATGGGAGGATCAAATAAAGAACTTTTAATTAATATATCAAGGTTAAAAAATTAAAAACCTTAAAAGATTAAGAATTTAATGTTAAATGTTTTTAAAGATTTGAGAATTTAATATTAAATGTACCGAAATATTTCCATTAATTTTAGTTTCTCTCTCAAATTATAATTAAATCCAAATTTGGTTTTTTCCGAAATAAAAAAAATTCCGTTGCCGGGAATCGAACCCGGGTCTCTCGGGTGAGAGCCGAGTATCCTAACCAACTAGACTACAACGGATTTTTGTTCAATTGCTAGATATAAATGTATTTAACTAATTTACAAAATCTTCTCTGACTATTTTAAATGAATCACCATTCTCTTTCTATATTTTAAATAAAATCTCGGTTGAAAAAAAATATTGGTATTGAATGGAAGATAGAATCAAATTTGGAAGGGAAAAAAAAAAAAAAGAATTTACCCGAGGGAAACTGAAATGACAGTGAGTGAGAGGTGTAATTGTTGAGCGTGGTGAAAGTTGACCAAGTCAACGCAACGGTAAAAAAATAAAATATTTTGTGAATGGGACGTGTAACAACTGGAGCGTTGGAAGTGAGCGCGGGGCGTGGTGCTCTGCCTCCAATCCAACGGTTACATTTAATGTTTGTATTACTCAATTTCTCTCTCTCTCTCTCTATAAAACCCTAATAGCTGCATAGCTTCTGATCTCCTCCATCAGACCATCACAATCGTCGGACAAAAAAATTAGGGTTTCGCCGCTCCAAACTGGAAATTACGATCATCACCATCACAATCCTCTCTTCGAATTCCGGTAATTTCTTTCTCTTCTTCATCCTTTTCTTCGTATGCGCTACTTAATTATAATTATTTGATTAATTACATCTAGATCATGTCATGTGTTGTGTTCTTGATTTCGATCCGTCACATATATATATACACGTACTTATGTTCGTTCTTAATTTCTCTTGCCTTTGAAACTTCTTTCATCGATCAAATTTTATAATTAGTTTTGAATACTCAGATCGATGGAGGATCCAGTGAGATCTCTCTAATCTGATGTGTGGTTTTGTACAAACTATTAATTCATCCATCTGGGTCTCAAATTTGGGGGTTTTGACCTTTACTTTCTCCTTTATTTTCTCCATCGATCAAACTTCTATGTGTTCTTTCATACCCTAAACCTTAACTAAGGTCTACTTATTATTTGGACTTGACGACGGACTATGTATCGAATTCTTTAATTTTTTATGCAATTAATAATTAGTTACATACAGATAATATTTTAGTCAATTCACTAATTTGGTGATTTTGCTTTCTTTCAGAAAATAATATATTCTAATTTCCTCCACTGTGCCGGCGGTCACCAAAAACTCGGAAATGAACAAGATTGGAGCAGATTAACGAGGTAATTAATTAAAAAGATGATGTTCTTGTTCTGAACCCAGCCACAGGTTGAGAATATATTGTAAGCTAATTAATTTGCATGCATATACCAAATCCCACACACAGGACTGTTAAGAGGTATGTTATGTAATTCCCATTTTCATCCATCATCTTCTTTTCATTATTTCTTATTTTTCCTTTCACCATACGATTTAGTTGTATTCAATTTTTTGGGCTTTTTCTGTGGCGTTAGCGCGTTATTAATTTTTTAGAGCAGTTTTTTAAGTTCATGATTGTGGACGGGAGTGCTTTCTGTTTGTTTATATTCGATTATTTCTCTCTCTGTTTTTTTTTTCTTCTTTGAAATTTTGATTTCTACTCTCAAATTTATAATGTTATTCTCAGCTAAAATTTTTGTTTGAAATTCTCTTTAATGTTTTTCCTCTCTAACATTTTTTTTTATTCCTCTAACTTTTATCTTCAATCTTCTATCATTCTAAAAACTTCTAAAAAAATTCCTCTATAGAAGTTTTCCCCACTCTCTTGAAAACTTTTTTCTTTCTCAATTTTTTTTTTCTCTTTTTAACTTTTTTTATATCCAAAGTTTTTCTCATTTTATAATATTTTTCTCTCTCTAAAAGGTTGCCAAATCTTTTTTTAACTTCTTTCCTCCCTAAATTTATTTGTGAATTTCTTTTAACTTTTTCATCTTCAAAATTTCTCACCCTTCTATATCAATTTTTTCTGCCTCGAAAATGTTTTGTCATCTTTCCTTTTAACTATTTTTATCTCTCAAAATTTTTTGTAAAACTCTTTAGCATTTTTTCTTAAAAAGATTTGTCTAATTATAAAATTTTCTCTCTATAGATTCTCATTCAAAACCTTTTTTTGTAAATATCTCTATTGAACTTTTTATCTTCAAAAAATTCTCTCATTCTACGGTCCTTTTTTCACTCTAAAAGCTTTTTTTCTCTCTTTTTAACCTTTTTCTCACTTGAAATTTTTAATGTTCAAATATTTTCTCTCATTCTATACATTATTTTTCTCAATAAATTTTTTTCCCTTTAATTTTTATTTCATTTTATAAATTTTTCTCTCTCAAAATATTTTTGTAAATGACTTTTCTTAACCTTAAATAGTTTTCTTTCATTCTAGAACTTTTTTTTTTCTTTACAAAAGTTTTTCCCTCTCTCTTTCAAACTTTCTTCTCTCCCAAAAGCTTTCTTTTAACTATTTTATTTTAAAATTTCTTCATTTTATAATATTTTTCTCTCTTTCCCAATCTACCTTTACTTTTATTTTCTTTTTAAAAATTTTTTTAATCTCTTTTGAACTTTTATTATCTTCAAAATTTCTCCCATTCTATAACCTTTTTTATTTCGAAAAGATTTTTCATATTTTTCTCAACTATTTTTCATGCTTTTTCCTTCAAAATCTCTCTATAGAAGTTTTTTCTCTCTCCATCTTGAAAACTTTTTCATATGTAAAAACTTATTTTTTTAATCTCTTTTAATATTTTTATTAGCAAAAATTTTTTCATTTTATAATGTTTTTCTCTCTTGAAGGTTTCAAATATTTTCTGTTTTATTAACTTTTCTCTCTCAAATTTTTTTCCCATTTTTCATCTTTCATTTTAACCATTTTCAGTCCCTTTTTTTTTTAAATCTCATTCTATATATTTTTCATTTTTTCTTTTAAACTAGTTATCTTTAAATTTTTATGTTAAAATTTCTGTCATTCTACCTATGAACTCTATAAAAAGCCATTTCTTCTCCATCTAACATTTTTTTTTTCTCTTTTAGTAAACCATGATCAACTTTTTTTCTTCTTTTCAAATTTTTTTCGCCGATTATATAATTTTTTTCTCTCTAAAAGTTTTTCCCTTCTGTATCAAAACTTTTTCTCTTAAAACTTTTTTTTTAAACGCTTAACCTTTTTTTTCTTCATACGTTTTTCTCATTCTATCCTTTTTTCTCTCACTTAAATGTTTTTTTTACTTTTTTCTCTCCCAATTTTTTTTTCTAAACGTCTTTAAATTTTTAATATTCAAATATTTTTTCTCGTTCTATACATTATTTTTCTCTATAAAAGGCTTTTTTTTCTCTCTCGAATTTTTTTTATTTCCAAAATTCTCTCATTTTATAATTTTTTCTCTCTAAAAAGATTTCGGTGAATCTCCTTTTAACTTTTTTAAACTTCAAAAATTTTCTTCCATTCTACAAAATCCCCTCTGTTTTGCAAACTTTTTTCCTTTCTTCTATTTTTCAAAATCCCCTGTTTGATTTTAACTTTTTTTTTATCTAGCATATTTCTTTTATTTTATAATAATTTTTTTTCTCTCTTTAAAAAGTTTTTTTTTGTCATTCTCCATTTAATTTCTTTTCTCCTTTAATTTTTTTTTGTTAAACTCATTAACAATGCCATCCTCAAAATTTCTCATTCTATAACTTTTTTTTTCATCTGTTTTTTTCATCTTTCTTCCTATTCTTCAAAAAAACTGTTTTTTTTTCCTTCACGGCTTTTTGCTCGTTCTCTATAATTTTTTTCTCTCTCTGAAAGATTCTACTCTATTTTTTATTTTTCTCTCTCACAAAACGTTTTTTAAAATCTCTTTTTAACTTTTTTATCTTCAATATTTTTCTTTCATTCTATAACTTTTTTCCTCTAAAAAAGTTTTTCCCTCTCTTTCGAACATTCTTCTACTTTCCTTTTAATTTCTTTCGTTTTAGAATTTTCTCTCTCTAAAAGCTTTTTCAAATCTCCTTTTAATTTATTTTCTTTCCCAAAATTTTTAATCTATTTTGAATTTTTTTATCTTCAAAATTACTATCTCGAAAAGTTTTTTTTTCATGTTTTTTAATTATTTTTCTCACTCAAATTTTGTAAAACTCTTTTATTTTTTTCCCCTTCAAAATCTCTCTATAAAAGCTTTTCCCTCCCTCTTGAAATCTTTATTTCTTTTTTTTATCTCGACTAACACTTTTAAACTCTACAACTTTTTAACTTTTTTTCTTCCCAGTTTTTTTTATCATTCTATAACTGTTTTCTCTCTAAAAATTTTTACTTGATTTTTGATAATTTTTTTTCTCTCTCAAAACATTTTTGTAAATTTCTTTTAATCTTTTTTTTTCTCTAGAAGTTTTTTCCTCTCACTTTCAAGATCTCTCAAAACTTTTTTTTAATTTATTTTAACTTTTTTTTATCTTTAGAATTTGTTTTATTTTATAATGCTTTTCCCCAATCTCCTTTTAATATATTTTCTCTCTCAAAATTTTAAATCTCTTTTGACTTTTTTTAATCTCAAAATTGCTCACATTCTATAAATATTTTCTGAAATGGTTTTTTTTTATTAACTATTTTTCTCTCTCAAAAATTTAGAAAAACTCATTTAAGTTTTTTTCCTCAAAATCTCTGTATAAAAGTTTTCCTTCTCTTTCAAACTTTTTCCTTTCCTGAAACCTATTTTTTTAATCTCTATTAACATTTACTTAAAAAAAATAAACTCTATTTTTAAAATTTCTTTCATTTTATAATATTTCTCTCCTAAAAGAGTTTCAAATCTTTTTTCTTTTAATTTTTCTCTCTCAAATCTTTTTTTAAAATATTTTTTAACTCGTTTGTCTTTAAATTTTATCTCATAACTTTTTTTTTTCTATCTATAAGAGTTTTTCAACTTTATTTTAACCATTTTTCTCTCTATGTCTCTCTGTTTTTTTTGTTAATCTCATCCTATAACTTTTTTATCTTTCATTATCTATCTTTTATGTTAAAAAATTCTCTCATTCCACATGTGATTTTTTTTTTCTCTTTAAGCTTTTTCATTACATTTTAATGTTTTTTCTCTCTAAAATTTTTAGTATCATCCTTAACTTTTTAGCTTCAATTTTTTTCTCTCTCATTCTATAATTTCTCTAATTACATTGTATCAAAATCTTCTCTCATATCAAAATTTTTTGATAAACTCTTTTGACTTATTTTTTTCAAAAATTTCTCTCTCACATTCTATACTTTTTTTCCGTCACTAAAACAATTTTCCTCTATCTTTTTAGATTTTTTTCTCTTCAAATTTTCTTTTTCTAAATCTCTTTTAATTTTTAATGTTAAAAAGTTCTCTCACATTTGATACATTATTTTTCTCTACAAAAAGGTTTTTTCCCTCTCTTTTTAACTTGTTTTCTACCTTTTTTTTCTCATTTATAATTTTTTCTCTCTCAAAATGTTTTTGTAAATCTCTTTTAACTTACTATAACTTCAAAATTTTTCTTTCATTCTAAGAAACCTATCTAACAATAGGCTTGCAAACTTTTTTCTCTCTTTTGCAGAACTTTTTTTTTTTTTAATTTCTTTTAACTTCTTTTATCTTAATTAAAAATTTCTCTTATTTTATAATTGTTTCTCTCTAGCTATAAGAGTTTTCTCAATCTCCATTTAATTTTTTTTTTCTCCCTCAAAATTTTTAATGAATCTCTTTAACTATGTTATCTTCCAAATTTCTCTAGCTATAACCTTTTTATATATCTAAAAGTTTTTTCATCTTTCTTTTTAACTTTTTCTTCCTAATCTTTTTCCTAAAATTATTTAAACCTTTTTTTCTTCACTGTTTTTTCTAATTCTACAAATTGTTTCCTCTAAAAGTTTTGCCCTATTTTTGTTTTTTTTCTCTCTCAAATGTTTTTAAAAATCTTTTTAACTATTTTATCTTCAATATGTTTCTTTCATTCTATAACTTCTTTCTCTATTAAAGGTTTTCCCTCTCTCTTCCAAACTTTCTTCTTTACCTTTTTTTATCTTTAAATTTCTTCATTTTATAATGTTTTTGATCTCTCTAAAAGTTTTTCCAAATCTCCTTTTAATTTATTTTACTTCACAAATGTTTTAATCGCTTTTAAATTAATTTCTCTTATTCTACAGTTTTTTTTTCATGTATTTCTTATCTATTTTTCTCTCTTCAAAATCTCTCTATTAAAAATCTCCCCGCTCTTGGAAACTTTTTTACTTTTTCAAAACTTCTTTTTTCAATCTCGATTAACATTTTTACCTTAAAAATTTCTTTCATTTTATAATGTTTTTCTTTCCCTCAGAAGTTTTCAAATCTTTTAGCTTTTTTCACTCTCAAATTTTTTAAAATCTCTTTAACTGTTTTGTCCTTAAAATTTCTCCAATTT